CACACACACACACACACACACACACACACACACACACACACACACACACCTGCAGACTCGTAAATGAGAGTGAGATGATGCAGAGCGTTCAATAATAGAAGCAGTGACACTCACAGGGATTTCTGCAGCGTGATGCCCCCACCTCTCCTCCTCCTCCTCCCCTGAGCTGCAGCCCCCCCCCGGTGGCAGGGCTGGAAACTGCCGCGCTGACGTCACACTCGTGATTTCAGAGGACAAATAAACAGAAGACAAAGATCCTTCAAACATCGCTCAGCTGAAGGACGTGTTCAGAAAAATAAAACCTCGTTTCTGTAAACACAGATCTGCAGCCATTTGACGATCAGCGTTTCAGGACATAAGAACACGACCTTTAACCTCCACAGAGCCACCACAGCATCCACACCTGCAGATCTTCCAGGGTCCAGTAAACACACTTAAAGAAGAGACTGTTGCATCACAGCAGGGTTAATGATTCAAACCCAGGCGTGTGCTGATCCTAAAGCAGAGCGTCATGAAACCGTGCACAGGGTGGATCACGGATAACCTCAGTCAGTCCAGCTCACACAGGTCAGGGCTGATTGTAGAGCTTTGAGTGGACGATGTCCTGTGAAACATCCACACTGACCCGTCAGCGTTTCACACGCCAGAATAGTAACCAGCAGCAGCAGCAGCGTGTGATGCAGCTGCACACCTGGGGTTCAGAGGTGACTGTAAAACAGCTGTAACGCCGCTCCAGATGTTGGGCTCAGGACGGGATGGAAGCTCGTAGGTTCAAACCTGGGCTCGGTCTGATACCCCGCAGCGCTGCGACGATGGGCTACAGGTCGCTCTCCCTCAGAGCGGCTGTTTGCCACAGCGCCAGCTTACCCTGACCAATCAGCAGCTGGATCAGAGGCACGTCACGTGCTACGCTAGCTCCCAAGTTTGATGGTTTGAGTTTCTTCCTGTTTCTTTATTTTTGTACTTTAACTTTTTGATCTGCTCATTTCCACAGTTTTATTCTTGGGCCCTGCCAGGCTAGCTTTGCATGATTCACACTGTGAGCAGCCCTTCAGTTCATCCTCCTAAACAAGCAGTCTGAGCTCCTCCCTCTTTAAACCAGCACAGCGATTGGCTGCCCCTCGTTATGAGCAACTTAAACAACAGGTGGGTGGATGCTCCAACTCTGTGACATCATCGAGAGTCACTGACTCATCTGGAGCACACACACACACACACACACACACACACACACACACACACACACACACACACACACACACACACACCCCACTGTTTTAAACTCCGACCCTGTTTAACATGGACATCCACCCTGGAACAGGAAACGCACGACTTCATACAAACGTTCCCTCAGGGCGTCCCATGAGACGGCTCCATGAAGCTGCTCCACCTCCTGATCTCCTCTGTGTGAACTTCAGGTAGCCCTCCACCCAGATGTGCATATCTGACGTGTGTTAGTAGCTCCAGTGCGCGCGCGCGCGCGCACACACACACACACACACACACACACGCGCGCACGCACACACAGCGTGGTGGTAAAAGAGCGATCGGGCCGCTCTTTGCGTTTTAAAGCATGTATTATTGATTAGAACAAGCAGCAGTGAAGTGCAGCACAGAGCTGCAGCTTTGTTCAAGGGCAAAGCTGCAAGTTAGCCACTTAGCAGACTGACAGGAGAGAGAGGGGCGAGCGACGGGGCGAGCAACAGGGGAGGGAGAGAGAAACCCTAAGAAGAAGGAGGAGAGGGAAAGGTCTGTGTGTGTGTGTGTGTGTGTGTGTGTGTGTGTGTGT